CAGGATTGTTAGGCATTAGCTTTCAAAGCTACCAAGAAGCATTCCAAAGGTCTCAATAACAGGAATAAGTACTGGTTTAAGTATACTATAATCTCTTGGGGTCCATGTTTAAAGCAAAAGTTACCTTGGTAGCATTACTATTTATTCAATAGACAATCACAATAGACACAATGAACAGATGTTTCCTTATAATCTCTTTACTTCATGCCAATCCCAGCTTTTCCTATAGGATCTAACTGGTCAGTGTTCCTGTAAGTACTGATACAGAAACAATAACTCAAAAGAATGTTGTATTGTACACTCTAGGATGCCTGAGTATTTGCTTCAATGGGATATAATTGTTGAGTCCACTAATACAACAGAATGTAAAGAAATGTGGGCCGTACCTTTTTTTCTTGTGGCTGCTTCAGCCTAAAAAGATGGGGGAACTTAAAATTCAATCAATAAAGGATTCACAATAATAGGTTTTTCAGTCAAGACACCCCAGTTACAGACAAAAGCACTAGGCCTGTGTATGCTAGTACACTCCCTTATATGAACTCTTTGGAGACAGACATATCTGGGATTCACAGCTGTATGCACTTTATAAGGTACATATATACCCTGTATTACATAAAACCCTCAGCAAAGTCTGTGGCAACTGTGCAATGAATAATGAAGTTCAACAGGAAACAGTTTAGTCACACTAAGTGCAAAATGAAGGCAGCAATTCTGGTCAGGTTTCACATTTAATTAGCTCAACAACAGAAAATCTTTCGTTTTCATATAGTTTTTGGATTTCAAAAAATGGATAAGAGACTGTATCTGTTTTCTGCGTTTGCACTCTTCATACTGTGATGGAAATAAGAGTGGTTATGTTACAACAGAACTTCAGTCTAACAGTTTCTCATCTTTTAATACTATTTATGGTAAATACATATATATAACTTACTTGCAATTTAAATTACAAAATTCATATACAAAGTAAGCAAAAAGGCACACATAAGAAATTCACCTTGACCACAGAAATGTGAAAACACCAGCCCTAATGACCAAGACAATGTTTCAAAGGCAACACCAAGAAAAGTTGAGATTCTACAATAAATCATATTAAATGCAAGCACTATGATGCGCAGACGTGAGCACTGAATATTTTCTAAAGCATAAAACAGGAAAAACCATTTTATGGGGAATCTATTCACATATTCCAAACAGCATTTTTGAAAATATTAAACTTAGCTTCGTTTTAAAAACAAAATTCAGACCCAAACAATCAGGAACCAGAAAATGGGTTTCTTACCTTTTGTTTCCAGTAGGATGTGGGCTGAACAGCAAGGTGGGTTATTCAATCTGATGTTATGAAAAGTAATTGCTTCTTAAAGAGACTTAAGTTTTTCCTTGGTTAGAAAATAATTATAGGCTCCCTAAAACATTCTAAGGGGACATAAATAGGGAGAAGAAGGGAAAATTCCAAGACAGCTTTTGTAGTTTCAAAAGGGTGTGACTTTAATAATTGCCAATATGGATAGAGACCTAAAGGTCCATTTTCTGAAACTATAAATAGGAGCAGTCCATACTTCCCATCACAGCTTTTAGCTGTCTGGTCATCTTAACTACAAAATCTATGCCCCTTTACCTTTCATAAGTAAACATGAGGTCCTCTCTAATCTTCAAATTCAGCCTGTATAACAAGGAATGCTGTCTCATTTCAATGTGAAGTTAGAATTACTGTAACTTTTAGTAGAGCACATCTTTCAACTTTAAACACTCAAACTTGAGTGAAGGCCATTTACATTTTTTGGTGGTTTCCAAAACATTCAATGAACACAAATGAACCAAAGTTTGCTTAAGTCTAGCTCACATTAACCTTACAAAATGATCATTAATCATTTATTTTCCCTTTAATAATCTGAATTTTAAAAATGTTCTACACATAAAACAGAATTTAGAACTTCAAGAATGTCATGTAAAATTATTCAAATTTTAAACAGTAAATCTGCCTTTTGGCCATTATATTAAATTCTTACATAAAAAGAGCTACATCCTTAATAAATTTAAACTAAGTACTTTACTTAGTGAAATTCTGCATTCAACATCCCCTCTTCCCAACATTCCACAACGTTCATTAAAATCTGACTGGGGTAACCTTACACATTTCTTCCACTACTAAGATTTCTGGTTTTCCCTAGGTTTTTAATTGTCACCCGAATAATCACCTTAAATTCAACTTCCAACTATGATTAGCACCCGAGGGAAATGTTAAAGTCTAGTTACTTATTTTAGGTCCCCTCCCCCAACCTAAATAGTATCGGAGGCTGTCAGTAGACAAATACAAAAAGTAGCAGACTACAAGTTTCTAACGACTGCTTTGGTAGAGAACACCAAAGTTTTAGGTACAAAATAATCTTATGGTTGAGAAGGGCTTATAAGGCAAAATTCTAAATGCCCAGCTTTTTATTAGCAACGATTCATCCAAAGAAGCAGTTAATCTTGTACACACTTTCCCTTTCAAAAAAGAAATGTGACTTGTGTTAAAAGTTCTACAGGCCGAGCATGGTGGCTCACACCTGTAATCCTAACACTTTGGGAGGCCAAGGCAGGCAGATCACTTGAGGCCAGGAGTTTTGGGACCAGCCTGGGTAACACAGAGAAACTGCACCTCTACTAAAAATACAAAATTAGCCAGGCAAGTGTGGCACACACTTGTAATCCCAGCTACTCGGGAGACTGAGGCACGAGAATCACTCGAATCCAGGAGGTGGAGGTTGCAGTGAGCCCAGATTACACCACTGCACTCCAGTCTGGGGAATAAAGCGAGACTCTGTCTCAAAAACAAAAAACAGTTCTAAAACGTCTGTGCTGATGTTAACATTTAATACTTACCTTTTTTTGAGATGAGTTTCATTGAAAATATCAAAAGCTATCTCCAAGTGAACATTAATTTACTAGCCATCAACCAACTTTGCACAAAAGCCTATGTTGTCTATGACCACCAGAAAATAAGCAGCATCTACAGTTTTTTAACCAATTTATAACAAAGTAGAGAAGCTTATCTTTCAGATGCTAGATCCAACCCCCCACCGTCATTTACCAAGTTACATACACAAATGCCTTATTCTCCCCTTTTGCCTTCCCCTGAAGACTTTTACAATTAACAATAAAAGATGGCTAATACCATTATAGTGCCTTTTAAGAACTTTTAATTTGCTAACACATTAATACAAGAGTCAAAATCTTATCTTACTTAACAATTTAAAGATTAACTGATAGACCCAGTTAGAATCTTACATGAAGAGGAAAAAGGACAACCATGCATAGTTTTTTAAAAAATGTTTATTTTTTCAAAGAAAAACGGCAATAGCCAATTGGAAACCTACTTATTCTTCAACTCCAATTTTGTTTTCTTTAAATTTAGAAGTGACTTACTGATTTACTATTTTAAACAAACCCCCCCTTTCCCCTTTAAATGTTTACCATCTACTCGTGCTGAATCCTTCCAAGGAGATTGCTCCAGCGTTTATCTCCAGGTCCTCGCTTTGCTCCTTTTACCAAAAAACGCAAAACACAATTCCATCGTGCATCTTAAGGGCTCCAATCGTCAAAAATAGGAAAAAAAAAATCTTTGGAATAGCCAATTAAGTTGAATAAAAAAATCCACACGAATGCGGTTTGGTTGGGGCAGGAATCCACTCCTATGTTCCTGGTAATCTGATCCCGCTCCATGAATCCTGGTAATTCATCCTCCCTATCCTATCCACATTATGATTTGAATCCAATGATCCAGCTCCAAGGATTGGGATCCAGTGAGCCCTCTCCAATCCAAACCTTTATAACCAGCAAAACCAAAAGAGAGGAGGCAAAATGTTAGATATTGTAATCAAAAAAGGTTTCTGGGGAATGATGAGTTATGTCTGTCATCAGTTTAACAGATGCACATCAATAACTATCAAATTCCCCAAAACAAGTTTCTGAATGGTGTTCAGATAAATT